TGAAAACTTTTCGAACATGCTAGACCCTGGTCCCTCAATGAATTTCTATCTGAAACTAATGTTTGTTGCTTCATTTACCCCGCCTTTGAGCACCACTTTACTCGGATTGGCTGCCCCCCATAAACACAAAATTTGAATAGCAAATTTTGGTGGAAGTACTTTGGTTGTTTAAATACTACATATCTAACAAATTGTGCAGGCTTTCCATCTTCCCATTACAACCGCCCCCACTTATGCCACACATTTCTATCTGCATGAATGTAAACATTGCACAGCGCATGACAAGGGGGTTGCTACATGTATATGTATGCAAACCGCAGCACTGGATCCACATTAAATCAGCAGTGGAGGTGCATTACATCACTCCACAGTCAGATCCATAAAGGGCTAAGAGCCAATTCATTTTGAGAAAACACCCTCTATTGATCCCTGCTGCTCTCCATCACTTACACTGTAACAGTTACCTCAATCCATAGGCTAACCTGACACATAATCCGTGTGTGTGTGGGTTTATGTGTGGGTCTGCCTTTGCAAGTATTTTATTAACATAATGTCAGCAAACAGGACACATGGGGGAAATACTGCAGGGTGTTCTATGGCTGTCCTGAACTCCTTTTTTAAAAATTGATTTCAGTGTCTGCGTTTGATACAAGACAACTTCCACTTCCCTCCAGCTGACTGGTCTAAACTGGGTTGCTAGCAGCCTCTAGTGGCCTTCAACCAACCTTGAGACACACTCATAAGAGCACCAGAAAGCATTTCTTACATTTTGGGGCTCACACATGCATCTCATGTTGTTCCTTTCTCCTCTGATGGAGCCAGAGTAGCCATTTAAGTGATACTTTACTACCTGCGAAGCACATTGATTTTGGCTCCGCTACTGGGAGTGCTGGATTTTCTCAGTACAACATTTTTGCACAGTTAGGTCAGGTTCTTATTCCCTTATTCCCACTGCAACATGCCGGAGCTCTTTGAAACAGGCAGACGGGCAGGCAGCACACAAGCATGCGCACACACACATTGTTTCCCACTGAATTGCACCCATGGAAAAGCAGATTTAGGCCATGGGACAGTAAAATTCCCTTTAAAAAAACTACACTAAAGGCATTAGTGTACCAATGTACCTTTTTAAAGGTTGTAGGAACTCCGATTTATGTGTATTTTCACTGATGATGGTGACATTTGATCACTAGCTCCACTAATGTAAACAAACAGATGACAAAAAAAATTTCAAAAGGGAAAGGAGAGAAGAGAGAGAGAAAAAAGTCAAAGATATGAATTCCACACTCCTCTGGAGTCTCTTCTTCTGTCGCTGGAGAATCCATCACATTAAAGCTTTAATGCTAGAATAACAAAGCATCCATCACGTTGAATGCCCCAGAATACAGAGAGCCATTCAGGCCAAAAGCCTGCAATTCCCTGGGTGCGGTACCTGTGCGCTGTTCACCAAGGCTGGCCAACATTTTTTTTGTTTGTTTGCTGTGGAACTTAGGAGCATGTGGTAAATGCAACAAGCAATGAATTAGGTTTTTGTGCATATCCTACTGAGGCAGAGCCCAGAGAGCTGACAGACTGATGTGAATTTACAGCTCAGGCTGACTTGAGTTAAACATATTCGAAGGGAAGTAAATAAAATATACAGGACAGGACGGGGAGAAGGTGGAGGAGATAAATACAAGTGGACACAGGCGTAAACAGGGGCGAGAATAAAAGACGGAGAAGACGAGGACAAAAGGAGATGACAGAAGAATCAACAGGAAGGAAAATGCAAGGATGAATCTTAGAATACGGAAGGAAAGGAAGAGGCAGCAAAAAGAAAGATAGCTAGATGAAATAGGAGGAAGGAGATGGGAGACTGGAGAAGGACATAAAGAAAGAAAATAAAAGGAGGAAGAGAGGAAGAGACGATGGGGTATTAGGAAAGTGAGACATGGTTTAGTCAATGAAAAAAGAAAGAAAGGGAAATATGTGTGAATGAGAGGGAGCTGCGTAACACAAAACATAGTAACACATACGACCAGCACAGCTTCCCTCACTCTCCCGACTCTTTCTTTCATCGTATGTTCACAGTCACAAACGCACAAACCCGCAGTATCCCCAGCTGCATCTCCTGTAGTAACCCAGCCCCAATCCACGGCGACCGTGTGAGCCGGGTTACCATGGAAACTGAAAACCTCACATCAGCCCTCGGGGGTAAGGCGCACATAGCCATACCTCTCCACTTTCACCTCCCAGTCAGTCACATGACCAGCTCTAGTGCTGCAGCTGGAGTGGCAGAGCGGCAGCAGCAGAAGTAACAACTCACTGAATGTGAATGCTGACTGCAGAAGATGAGACAACTCTGGGATAATACAAACCTCTATCACAGAAGCTCTATGTGCTAAAGTTGGTAAAGGTGTTAAACTGTAGCTCTAATGGACACATAACTAAGAGACTGGTGATATGATTTCCACCCGCTTATCCAACCAGGGATGCAGGGGGTTTGATCCTAGCCCAGTTCACACTGGATGAACAGGTCACCAAAAAAAGAAAGACTAATCCGAATCCACATCTACAGCCAATTTAGCACACTTGGACTAAATTACCTGTGTGAAACACAAGCTGGAAGAAGGAGAACATGCAAACACAGCACAGAAAAGTCCAAGATGACCTGCAGGTTCAGATAAGGTGGAGGTGTTCCCAGGTAAAACATGTTGAACAAAGTTACGCCCTGTCAAGATGTCAAGATGAGCCTAGGTTATAGCCTCCTACATGCCCAACTGGCTGTCTTATTGCCAGTGGGGCATAGGGCACACTGGCAACCTGCTCACAGTTGCTGTGATTCTGCCAGCCACTCTGCAACCCAACTCCTTCTTTCATGTCATATCTGACTTAAATTCATATCTGTTGCCACTGATTTGTTCTACAATATTTATGTAATTTTTTATGCATTGATTATGTAATCATATTTTTTAAGATAATGGTCCTTAGTTGGTGGGCAGGAAGAGGTAGTACATGCTCACACTGTAAATGGACCCAAAATATCTGCTGCAGCAGGAATGATTCAAATCCACCCCAGAGACTTTAAAGCTTCCTTACATCTTCCTTGTGTCACACCTGCTCACCAATGAGGGATGCAAAAAAGTCCAATATCTTCAATTGTTTCTTTATTTGGTTGCTGTGGAGCCTGTTTTCTTAAAATAAGTGAAAACTACCTTCCCTATCTTTTTCAATTAATGATAGAAGTTTCTAGAAATAAGTCTATACAGAGGACGCTGCTACAGAGTCCAGAAGACAGTTCTGCTTAATTGCTCAATTACTTGAAACGATTTGAATGACATAGTTTAATTATGTAAAGTGAATCCATAATCATATCCCTGATGACAAGCATTTATCCCCTGTTGCAGTACGGATACAAGAACTGCATCCAATAAAAGCTAGGGTCATTCAAAAAAAAAAAAATCTTCATTCACCGATTTATAGATTGTATTTATGGAGTGGATCTGAGATTGAGAGACATTCAGTTTTTTACTCTACAATGAAGACACAGCTGGTGCTGCCAGGACTGAGCAAAAACTGCGTCTGAATAAACCTCATGAATTGGGGGATTCATTGTAGAAGCGCTAGCAAGCTTCACACACATTTACACACACATACAAGAGAGTGCGACGGTGGTGGTGGTGGGGTTGGTGGGGGGGAGTAAGCGCGGGTGTAGAGATAAGGAGCTGCGGCAGTGAGGTGTGGGGGTGGGGGGTTGTTTCTGGTATTGGCGCTGGTGGGAACGTGTTGGGGCTTGAAGAGATGGGAGGCTGCAGCAATCTACGGTGTCACCAGGACCAAAAAACCCCACCGTCACCAGACTGTGGAACGCCACTGCTGCTCTAAATGTTCTCACAGGAGCGCAGCACTGCAGCGCTCGAGCTGCAAAACCCTCTGACTGAGATGTGTGTCTGTGATCAAACGCTTTCACAGTGCACGTTCGGCCAAAGACGATGACTGAAACGAAGGATGCGAGGGCATGTGAAAATTCCAAAAGGTGTCTTCTCCTTATGGGAACATTCTGGCTAGGAGACATATAATTTTACTGCTGAGGATGCGGTGTGTTACGCTGATTTGTTTCTAGCCTTAGGACAACTGCTATGCAGTTTAAAAAAGTATCAGGGAAAGAAAATGACCTTAAAAAAAAAAGATCACCCCAAGCATTTTGTGTGGTGTTTTCGCATGTGTGCGGCTGTGGACATGAGGAAACAGTGCTATTTAAACATGTGAGAGTTGTTACACATGATTGATTATGTCCTAAAGGAAGTTACAGCTTATAAAACTGAGTGTGCATTTGGTCAATCTCATTCACCAACTTCCACATGACCATCGGAATATGTCGTATGGATGAAAGCGTACAACCTCCTTTCCAGGATGGCAAGCAATAGCATTAGATGAATTGGGGGTGGGGGGTGTATCAGGAGCTTTTTCACCCCCACTGAATAATGGTGCATTACCATTCTGCTGCTGTAAAAGCAAGGTGACCCGTATCAACCCTGAGGTCCAAGTGCTTGGTTCTAGAGGCAAATTCACAACCTGATGCCCGTGATTCCATCTCTGTCGCCACCATTATTATCTGGAGCACCTGCCTGGAGATCTCTTGGAGATGTAACACTGACCTTGAAACAGCACTTAGAGAGAGGCACACCAACCGGTCTTCCAAGGCCCGCGGTCCACAATTGGTCATCAAAAGCTCATTTTCACAGCTACGTCATTTGATGGTTTAACCAAAGCCAGCTGTGTGCATGCTACAGCTGAGCGTGGCGATTCTTAGGAAGGCCTGTTCTTGTGAATATTTCATGCAGCGTGAGGATTTCAGACACAATCTTGTTGCCAATCTTTGCAGAAGAAAGGTCGAAGCAAGCCACAAAAGACTACATGTGCAGAATTTGTCCTCTAAGTCCACTGAATTCCTCCTCAGTCTCCCATTCCCAGCATCCTTCTCTCTCTCTCTCTCTCTCTCTCACTGTGTGAAGCCTTACCTTGTTTCGTTTGGCCCCCCGCAGAGGAAAGAAGCAGGCGAAGAGGAACTTGCCCCAGCTGATGACGGCAGCCAGGCACCAGTTGAGGCGAGCCATGCCTGCGTCTGTCCCGTCTTGTCTGCCAGCCTCTTATCGCTCTAGCCCCCCACCCCCCACCCCTCAGAGCTCTGGAATAGGATCTTGTAACCCCCAACTATGCCCACCTCCCACAAAAAAAAGAACAATGATATCAAGGAGGAAAAAGATCACAAAGAGTCACGAAACCTTCTCGTCCTAATCCGTTGAGCAGGTGCGAAGTGAAAATGTTCCTTCAAGTCAGATGTAGTTTAGGGGTGGGGGAGATTTCGTTTTCCTTCTGTGGTGGTCTTTGGCAGTTTTCGGGAAACCTGTTTGGCTGTGTGTCTGCAATTCCAATTTGAAAGGGAAGTGGTGGTGGCGGCAGCGGTGGTGGGGTAGATAACTGGGGCTACTGGCGTCCCAAAAATGACTAGACCCTCAGATGGTCTAGAGGGATCCACAGCATTCAAAAGCCTAAAACTGAGTCCCTGTCTTCCCATCCATCCGTCTTTCCCACGACTACCTCCACTCTCACTCCTCCTCTGTTCTCCTGCTTCCAAAGCCGGGTCTAGATGAGTCAGTCCTCAAAGTGTGATGAGCACCGCCGGCTGCAAAACGCGAAGAGCCCGACGCTGATCGACGACACTGTTACACATACACGCGCACTGCCGCTGCTGCTGGCATGCCCACACTCACTTGTCTCTCACACGCACACACATACGCTCGCCTGCGAATAACACTGTCCTGGTGGTGCATACATCCACAGGCAGAAGAGCCCCCCTCTCTCATTACAAGGCTCCCCTCCAGGCTCAGGATCCCCCGTTGGTTCGCACTCACACACCGCTTACACACACTTGTCCACCTCTCTCGGTCTGTGCTGCTCTCTCACACATACATCGATGCTGCAGCACTTACTCAGTCAGAGTGGGAGGAGGGGAGCAAAAGAGTGAAGAGGAAGAGGAGGAGGTGGAGGTGAGGAGGGGAGGAAGAAAGGGAGAAACGACTGGGAAGAGAAAGGGAAAAAAAACGATAAGACAGAGGCTTTCTGTTGAGTGTGTTCATTCAGTGTTTATATTCCAGGGGTGACACCAGAGTCAGTGAGGAGACCGAGAAGGCGGTAATGTGCACGTGTATGAACGAAAGTGCGCATCAACTAGTGATAGCTACGAGAGGTGGAGGAGTGACAGGAAGGACCGTGAGAGTGAACAGAGGAGTCAAAATGGATGGACGGGAGGCATCGGGGGAAGGAAGAGAATGACATAAAAAAAAAGGGAAAGCAGAGAGTGCGCAGCATATACAAACACACACACATGAAGGGACACGCGGCAGCCGTCACGGTGCAAGGCTGATACAAAGCAGGCACAGGGTGATGATTGTTTTGTGTGTGTGTGCATGTGTGTGTGCAGAACTGGGTCGAAGGGAGCTAAGGAGGGAGGAGAGGAGGAAGAAAGGATGGAGGATGAGAGAACAGGAGAGGAGAAGGGTGTTGAATCATTGTGTCTTGGGTGATTATTTCCCTTTTCTCTCCCCCTTTTCTCATATGTACCCACACACACACACACACACACACACACACACGACTGCAGGTGGTGCACAGGCTCGCTCACTCTGCTGCAGTCTCTCTACGCTTCAGTGGGAGCACATTCTCACTGCAGAACGCTGCCACCCCCCCCAAACCCCACAACCCATCCAATCCCCGACCCCTCCCACCCAGCACACCACTGCCACACAAATGCAATCACAACACATCAAAGCAATGAGCGAGGGAGATAAAGTGTAGAGAGGATGCTGTTCTGTCAACCAAAGCTAGCTGAAACTGAGGGGTGGGGTGGGGTATAGATGTTTGGATGTTTGAAGGGGGAGGGGGGGGATAACAATAATAGTTGCTTGGCGATATCCAAATGTGCAGGCGATAAAAGATAAGTATAAAAGTTGACTGATTGAAATCGATCTTGAGTCGGGTCTTGTTATGAAGTGCATCTAAAAGAGTAAGCCTTTATGCTCAGCATTACTGAATAAAGAAAGCTACATGACAGTTAATAAAATGTATTAATATCCTGTCAAAAGAAGTGATGCTTTTGAGCAAGGCAATATTTCCCAGATGTTACAGTAACACCATGGAAAACAGTGTTTGCACACTGCAGCAGGACCAAAATCACTGTGACCCCATGCAATGAACTCACTATCTTGTTGTCTTTGAAATGGATGCTTCGAAGATGCAGACCAGGTCTGCCCCCACTAGCAGTCAGTCGCTGTCTTCAAAGCAACTTTGGTGCATCAAGATGGCAATAAAATGGCAATAAGACAATGTCAGTCTGCTATCAGTTTAAAATTGAATGGAGTCAAGTCTGCAAATACATGCTATAATGTAGCATTCAACCACGATAAAGTGGGGAAAAAGCACATATTCGTATAATCACAAATTTAAGAAGTTCATATTAAACTGTCCTGTCCTGGTCTGTGGGTCTGGTTGGGTTGTTTTGAATTTTCTGTTAAGACTTCTTTGTCTGCAGTTGAGGTTTTCTTTCATTCTGTAATTTTGTCAGCATGTCGTGGGTGTAAGGGGTATATTCTTTTCTTCTCTCACTAAGCACCCAAAGGACTTCCTACTACCACCAGAAACTAGAGAAACCCAAGGAATCATCCTACCAACCTTCCAGTTGGTAGATGAACCACTCTACCTCCTGAGCCACTCACAACTCTTTCTTATGGCTTCTTGTTTCTGTTTAACTGCCTGACTCTGTCGTTAATTTGTTCTTGTTACATTTGTGACCTGATTTTAGAATACTATATATCTGATTCCTTGTATTTTACTTTCATCTGGTCTCCTGAGTGTTCTTTCCCCTTGTTAAGTCTGTGTCTCTGTTACACACTTTCCTTTAGACATAGTAGTTTCTGCTGTGTCTTGTTACCCCAGTGTTTCCCCTCTCCCCTGATTACCTTATGTGTGTATTTAAATCCTCAGTTTGGCTTAGTTCCTTGTTGAGTCATCCTGTGTTATCTGTTAACCATTCACTGTGTGTGTGTGTGTGTGTGTGTGTGTGTGTGTGTGTGTGTGTGTGTGTTCAGTGGATTTGGAGTATATTTAGTAATTGCTTTATTTTGGATAATTTGCTTCACCTCGATAAAAATAAATTTATTGGTTTAAGAATTCCACCAGTGACGTTTGCATTTGGGTCTGCAAACTGCATATATTGACATAAACAGAAACACAACTGACTATTTACATTCAGATTCCAGCCAGAAACTCACAGATTTGTGCTCCAACACCGACATAGTTGATGGAAAACAACATAGATGCTCAGCAACCTTGTCTTTTATATAGGAATATAACCAGAAATCAACCAGTAGGCAACCTTCCAGAACATTGCAGATATGTCAGTGCAGCCTTAGACTCAAACTGATTGCAGAGTGTTTGCAATATGTCTGAGTTTATAAATTAGAAGGCAATTAAATGCCAATCTGTCTGACTTTGATTGTTTTGAGACAGGTTGTGGTTGCTGAACCCTCAAACGCTGGGTGGACAGTTCATTACCACAATTACTTCCAAACGGTCTACAGAAGCAAATATTCAAAGAAAGTTGCCATCCTACTCTTACTGTAGTGTGAGTGAGCTGTTAGTGGCTACTGTTGAAGATGGAAAAATAGGATTAAAAAATGCAATCCTGTGGGGATGTAATATTCTTACAGCCCACTGTATATAGAAAAATTGGCATCGTAACCATGCCTTCCCCTACTGGTGTCTGTTTTCCATGTTTTCACCCATTTAATCACCCATTTAAGGTTTATGTTGATTTTCCTGATACTAAAAGTGACACCTCAGAGCAAGACAAAATAATTGTCAGAAAATTCTGTTACCCATTGTTCAAATGGGTGAATCCAGGATGGATTTCTCCCCCTTTATGCATAGGCTTTCTGCCACTACTCCACCGTCCTCCCACAGTCCAAAGACATGTATTTTAGGTTAATTGGTGATTCTAAATTTGCTGTAGTTGTGAATATGAGTGTGAATGGTTATCTGTCTGTATGTGTTAGCCCTCCAACAGATTGGTGACCCATAACGCTATGAGAACTGGCATAGGCTCCAGCCTATCCTGATTACCCTATGATTTGGATAAGCATAAGAAAATGAATAGAAGGACAGATGGATCCTCCAAAAGGTACTAGCACTTTCTTTTGCTGTAAAGGCATGACACTAGAAAGGAAAGGAAGAATCCCTGAATGTCTGACTGTCTGACTCCACTCTCTGACATATATATGGATATGGACTGAGGCATGGATGGGAAACCTCAGTGTAACATTGCACATATGACTGGCCACCAGTTTGCAGGTACAAGAAAAATGTTTCAGCCAAAAGCAAATGGACCAAGAATTGCAAAGCAACTAGTGTAGTTCTCCTTTACATCAAGGTTATTGATGATGTCCTGTGGACCTTCCGCTTCTAAGCTGAACTGTTCTATTTTGCAAGGGCAGCAACACATCTAGAAGATTTCTACAGAGACATGAAATCATTTAGCTATGAAACCAAATATTTGACTTTTGTACAAGTTTGAAATAAAATTTTAAATATGTATGGGCTGGAATTATTTGGGTGTTTTGAAAGAGAACATTTCAGTTTCCTGCAGGACAGATTCATGAGGAATATGAAGGAGGAGGACTATGCATCTGTGCATCGCAATATTCTACAACACTGTGTGCCGTACATCTCAGTGTGGGACTGGGCATGTGTCCCACTCTCTTGGCAATGCTGACCTTTCTCATTAGGCATAAGCAACTTGCATAATCACTGCTGACTTCTATTGACTGGCCTGTCACAATGTCTATCCGTTTGACTGGAAACCCTGTGAAAAAGTGCCGGCTGCCAAAAAACATCTCAACCTGTGACTTCCTGCTGTATTGTGGAGCAGGATCAGTAACTAAGACTTTTCATTAACTATACACGTTATGTAACTTAAGTGCAATTAGATATATTCTCCTCTTTTAGTTTTATTAAAAATATACTTTAGTCTTACTTTTTAAAAATGTGAGCAGTTTTACCCTCCAAATAAGTCTACGCACTGTTTCAAATTATAATTTTCACAGTAACACTTAATGCACATCCATAGGACAGGATTTATGTCGTTAATGGACTGCTGCTTATTTTTCTACTATAACTGAGCACTCAAAGTGTTTTTTACTCATAACCTCATATGCCCAATCACACACACATTCACAGAAGTAGTGTTTTCTATATTTAAGTGTCTGGTCTACTATTTAGACACGCTTACGTTCAGATGAATGTAACAGGGAATCTCAGGGTCAGTATTTGTCCCAAGAATACTTTGACTGAGGATCAAACTAACATCCTTCCTTTTTATGAAACTAGCAAACCCTAGCAAAAACTTAAGTCAAGATTAATATAGTGGAAGATTTACCAGAACAATACTGATTAAACAGTATAGATATGTAAAATGAAGAATACATTAAGGTAACATGAATATACATCGTAACATTAATGATGAATTATAGATGTAGAAGATTTAATATCCAATATGTTGCTTCATAAAGTGTCTCACGACATGCTGAAGCTCACACAAACTTCATCTTCTTATCCCCACGTTGTTGTCACTTAGTCTGCTCCACTTTTCTAGACTTTTAGTATTTTTCTAGCCGCGTATTTCAGTGATCGATAATCAGCGGCTGCTCAGCTGCACTGGGAATAAATAAAAATTGCGCTGACCATTAAAATACATGATTTAACAAATGAGAACATGCACAAACTAAACAAAAATAGCATGCGCACACTAAAGGTCAATGAATGTGCCCATGGTGAGCCTCATTTTGGTGCTCAACTGAACTACCAAATACAAAAATATATATGACTGTGGGATTTGTATAAAATACTTGTATACACCATATAGATATTGGCATTCACACTGTCCTAGTCAAAG